AGGATTCGTTTTTTGCGAGAGGGGCTTTAAACATTCATACTTAACTCTATAGGAAAATAGGAAATAATTTAAAAACTTATATATAGGTACACTATGATATGAACCCATTATTAATTACTTAAAAAATATCTCACCTGAGATTTCAGAGGGGGGGGGGTGGTTGGTTAAGCCCAAAAGTCCACTCCCTAGATACGGCACTGGTATATACAGTACTTCACGATGTTTGGCCTTCTCTGTTTTTAATTTAAACGTTGATACTGAAATATCGTAAATTAAATTTCAGGTATTTTAACCTTTATCTTATAGGTACCTCATATAGTTTTAACTGTAGATAATTTTGATGCCTCAACAGCCTACAATTTCAACGTATCTATAACAAACATTTTGTTTTATTCAGATAATAATCTTGAAAAAGTAGATTAGGGTTTCCGTCGGTATTTAAAAATTTTAAACTCACTTTTATGGTATTTATCAAATAAAATATACTAATGAATTGAAACAATAAACAAATCATTAAGATGRTACTATAAATGATAATTATTGTTTCTAGATTTGCTTTATCATATTCGTTAACCCTGTATTCCAATTTGAAATAAAAAATTTAGTTTTAACTGTATAGGTCTTCAATTGGAGAAGGATATATTTTATATATGTATAGAAAAAAAAAACAGAATAATGAGACCACCTTCACACGATGTGTCAGCAATATTTCATGTTGTGATTTCCTACACTCTAGGTATACATTTTAGTATTTTACATAGGTATTATATTAGGTGGATTAAGTATCACGGAGTAAAATTTCTGGAATTAGTTTACGGTGATATTTGTTATACATAGGAATTCCAATTAATCTATTTCAGTAGTCTCTGTAATTGAATTTGGGGCTCTTTGATACATTTCAAATGAAATTGTATCATTACGCATAGATCTTCTCCTGATCTAATATCCCAGATATATTCATTTGCCTTACGTAACAATCTACCCAAACACTTGAAACGTAATTGATGACACTATTGCATATAAACTGATTTGATTTTGTCATTACTATCAGTACCTTATACGGTAATGTATTTTATTGTGTAATAAGTCGTGTTTTGAATTTCCTTCATTTCTCACATATACTATGTACATATGTAGGTACCTATAACTTGCAGTTTGCAGGCAGATTGTAAATAAACCACTCGTTAGACAAATGATATTCTAAATCAAGTAAATTATACAGTAGGTATACGTATTTTGATGTGAAACGTGAAAGTGGAACATACATGACAGTATATTTGTATATTTATCAACTATATATACGTAATATATTGTGTATGTAAAGGCTAACGATATAATAACAGTAATATATTATTCGTAGGGTATATTTTGTCTCTAGACTGTATTAATGTATTAGGAATAACTAAATAGGTAGTTACGATTGTTGTTTTCGAACACAGTGCGTGTGTGTCAAATATACGCATTATGTAAGATAATTTTTCATCATACCATAAGTTAGGTTTGCTTTTGAAAGTTAAAACAGTTCTTTAAATCACTTTGATACACGTATCAGTTTTCAGTTATGAATTATAATTCAATTGTATTTATTTTTTTGGCAATATTATAAATATCTAAATTCATATTCTGTATTTAATTTGTCTATAAAAATATCTTATTCAGTTCTTTACCAATAATATTTTGGTATTTATCAAACTACAGTGAAAACTCTTTATAACGAAACTAGTTATAACGAAAAAGTCTATATTACGTAAATAACATTAAGTTAACTTATAATGGTTGGTTTGATTTAAAACCTATTAATTACTCTCTATTACAAAAACTCTCAATAACGAAAGAAATCACATGATCCCTTCAGATTCGTTATAGAGAGTTTTCACTGTACTTAATACACTATAAGTAAATTTATAATTATGATACGGTATCAATATATCATTACAAAAAACACTAAGTAT